ATTGGTATGGGTTAGGCTAGATTTGGTGTATATATAAGTTAAATCTTTGTCTTCTGATTCCTTGCAGTGGGATAAGTCACAGAAGAGTGTGAAGCCAAAACGTATTCTGAACCCTGTATCACCTGGTGGAATGACTCAAGGTCAAGGTTCTAAAGATGGAGCTGGCTCCTTAAGGAGTGAAAAGCTGGAAGATCTTAGAGTTTCAATTGCTGGATCCTCTAAGGAAAGCGATGATGTTGAAATTTGAGATGCAGATCTTCGTCAGGACTCTCACTGGAAAGACTATCACCCTCGAGGTGGAAAGCTGTGACACCATAGACATCGTTAAGGCCAAGATCGAGGATAAGGAAGGAATTCCTCCGGATCAGCAGAGGCTTATCTTTGCCGGAAAGCAGTTGGAGTGTGGTCGTTGCTTAGGTGACTACCAAATTCAGAAGGAATCCACGCTTCATTTGGTGTTTAGGCTTCGTGGGGGTGTGCAAACCATGCCCTACGACGGTAAGATCTCTTCATCTGCGAGAATAATACATGATCGATCATCTACACTTTTATGCCTTTCCCCTTTCTTGCAGACCTTAAAGCATGCGTCTTCTGGGACACCGTTGATTTCCCGTTCCCCGATGGTCAAGATCCTGGTTGGATTTATCGCCGTACGAAAGATTCTCTTGAGAAGTTTATTTGTTTATTTGTCTGTCAAGGCTTATGTTGATGAGGAAAAAGTCACAGATGACTTGGTCCATGCCTATAAGGAAGCAGGAATCACCATCCTTCCTGTACCAGGTCAAGTCCCCTATGAACTCTACTTTTTAATTTGTATATTTGTCTAATATCTAGATCAAATTATAACTTTATTGGCAATGCTTTAAGAAGTTCCTAAGGCTTGATGTTGATTGGTGTCGTTGATTTACTCATCTCATCATGCTAGCGTGACTGTCAAACAGTTTAGTTTAGCTTGGTATAAAATTTAAGATCAAGAAATCTCTTAAAATCAATAAAACTTTACCTAACAATAAAGTCAAGGACTCAAGGCTTTAGGGAAAAACAAAGTCGGGAGCTGTATGAACTAGGAATTTAATAGCTTGGTTCCGCCTTGTTCCATTCCCAGTTCCAACTTCTCGTTCCATATGTTAATATGATTTCAAATGGAACAAGCTATTAAATTCCGTTTGAAACCTAGCTAAATGAGATTATAAAATGTAGAGATTAAGTTTTTCAATGCTTCTGATATTCTATTTTGATTTTATTATCACCTAATATTGTAATGAACGATATGTGGTTTATGCTAGTTTGTTAATTTTTAATAAATAATTAGTTTATCTGTGACTCATACTTTAATTTTCACTTGCAGATGATGAGTATGCTAGAGTTCAGTATATGACATCAGACATTCTTTTGTGGACAGTGGAAAATCCGTGGGATTCTTCTCCCTTGTGTGTCTTGTCAAAGCTCATCAAAAGAGAATCATTTTTCCACCACATCCTTTTAACGGTGGAACGTTTGGACTACAATGTCATCTTAGCATTGCCTCCTTCTGATCATCTCGCGTCAAGTGAGCTGCATTTCGTGAGCTTGGAAGGCTATTCGAAAAGCCTGTTAGATGGAACGGAAGATCAAAGCGGTACCTTACAAAGTCCTAACCGTTAGCGGAAAAACAGAGATGGCTCTATCGTTGACTAGCTTCTGTGTGACTTCTGGTTTTCGACTTCATTTTCTTTTTATGTATGAAACATTATGTTTATATTTCCAATTACCTGTCTTTAGCTTTTGCCGTTTAAAGAAGGCATTTTTCCTCAATAAATCTTTCAGCACTAAACAAAATGTAAAAGTAAGACTTAATTGGTATACTTTACATTTTGAATCTTAAAGAGGGAAAAGCAAGATGAGCAATCCTCCCATCCAACTCTCCCCAATGATTCATAATTTATCACTTTATATATTCCAAGACCAAGAGAATTTGTACACAAGACAACACACGGAAATGTTTAAGAAAGGAGAGATGAAAGATAAGCTAACCATTGACCATACTTATTACAAAACCATTTAAACATTATCGTCATGTCATGATTATGCATACTTCCCGGAAATAGTGCACCATGTTCTCGATATTCTCCATTTCAAGAGAAAATCAAATTGATAAAAATCCACAACAACTTCACGTTTCAATGTAACAATTGCAAAACAAACAAATTATGTTTTCTTCAATTTGCACAATCACGCAATTATATTTATCAAGAATAGAAGAAACAAGACTAATATTAAACTAAAACAAAAATTGGATACCAGGAAAGAGTCACAAACGGAAATATGTTTTTCGTAAACCCTAAAATCAAAGGCATATCCATAGTTTGTTGAGGAACGATCAATCGAAACATCTTCACATTTGTTTGTTCGTCTTTCTCTCCTCGCTCTCTCTATCCCCCCTTGGCCCCCTTTCTCTGAACTCTCTCACACACAATCATAGTAGAGAAAGACTTGTAGTATGAGCATCTCTTCATTGTTAGTCATCGTAGCGTTCGAGGTACCTTAATATCGTTATATTGGTCCCTGAGTAAGCCGTGAAAGCTACAATACACGATGAATAACTATGCTCTACAACATCACAAACATATGAAATAATCAGTCTAGTATAATAGTGATCTAAGTTCTTGATTATACTAAAACTTGCCATTGTTGGATATGTTATCATTGACAAACATACACAAAAACATTCATCTTCTAATTAACAAATATCAATAAGAACATATGAATAATCGAAAAGATCATATGCTTACATCAGCTGTAACTTTTGAGTTAAAAAAAAAACACTAATTACATTACAAGTTAATACGTACAAGGCTACAACGCATACGATTTCCGGTACCCAAATCGTAACTTAGCACCAAATGTTTGGCCAACGTCTCGAGAAAAAATAGAACACATATTTTGGATCAACAAACCTCTGTTCACATGAATCTTGAACTGTGTAGCCTAATTTTTAAAAACATTACATATAAAAACAGGAGGAGGCTTACAATTTGTAGATGAGAGAAAAGTCGTGTCTTACCTCTTTAAAATCTCCATCTTTGGGTGTCGCCTCGTGGTATCCGATCTTACCGTTGTTCTGCCATGATCACTGTTGAAGTAGACTTCTGTCTCTTGGCTGGTAACGGAAAACTTCTGCGAAAGGGAGATCACACCAGCCTCTGTATCCATTGGGACACTCTCAATGCATGTCATTATCAGAAAGCGGTACCAATTACAAAATAGATAGTGGTTTCTGTGTATTATTGAAACAGACCCTTAAAGAAACATCACTTTGAAAAAAAAAAGTAATTGTAATGGTCGTACACTGTATATGCTTATGAGCTCCAACTTTAATCATGATGAAGAAACGAAAAAAGCAATGCCATGGATTGTGCACAGATAGAGAATCACTCAAAATATTTGGGGCCAAACAAAGCGTCATAAATATTTGGAGGGAGAACTTTCTAGTGGATTAGGATGGTTATGCTTTTGCAGTCGGTTCTGCAACAAACCGGTTAATTCCCGAAAATAACATAAGAGGAGTCACTTTTTTTTTAACATCATTAATGTTTTATTTTCTTGCTAAATTGTATAATTTATGAAAAATGAACGAATTAGTAAACTTTTGAAACATGATCTAATGGCAAAAAAAAATAAAAACATTAAACCAAGATACGATCAGAATGATTTTTCATTCAAATAAAACCTATCAAGATAACAACCTAACTCATGATTCAATTGTAGCAAGTATAGGGTTCGAACATAAGGAAGACTAGAATTTAGAGTACTAAACCATGGATGATTTCAGTTAAGCCAAAGCATAAACAAGGATTTGGTTTGATTGTTCTAAACTAAATGGAATTGCACCAATACGAGAAATGAACATAGCTGAAACCAAAGATAAATGCAATAGTATAGAAAGCATCAAGTATCCGGTTAGCAACATATGAGGAGCAATAAATTGCGGCTAATAAAGCTAGGATCTTTCAGATATAAGCTCAACTCCTAAGCATGGAACACGAATTCCATTTTATCTCACTTTCGTGATGTACTAATTAGTTGCAAAAATATTTTACTTGCTAAAATTTCGAACGCATTTATTATAATATGAGTTTATAAAAATATTCGTAAGGCATTTAAAAATATTTCTATAATGGCAAAGAAAACCAATCATTCGGAAGAAAATTATGATAACAAGCCATCATTTCCAAATGGTT